CTGGCGCCGCCCAAACCAGTCCCCCTATACGTCCCAGCGTTCGCGGCAAAGATGACTGTAGAAAAAAATGAATAACATCAATAATAAAAGGAGCCACTCACCATGGTTCGGAGGTACCACCAAATCTATCATGTTCTTTTTTGCCTTCAACGGCCAAATCTTCTTCAACGTTTGCCTCAGTTCTTCATCAGCTTCGTCCATTTCTTCGACTGAAAATATGTAGAACATTTCTCAAGGCTCATGAAAAAGTAACTGAAGTAAGAGTTAAGCAGCCAAGTTACTAAAGCTGCTGAAGTTGGCATGGCGATGCATGTAAGCGTCGAGAATGTGAAAGTCCAAACGACAGTGGAAGAACGTGGATAACATAACGCGCTATTAAGCGAGCTATGTTAAAGTTAAAGCTTGTCCATTACTCCTGTTCCCAATAGGCAGTCAAGAAGCTATTGTACCTCCCAAAAGCGCATTCATACTGCACAATCTGACCGCTTGGATCGCGCGAGCGATTCGGTCACAAAAGCGCGCGAAGCTCGTAGTAGGCGCCAACCATGGGCAATCGGCAGTTTTTGGGAATAGCGGCAAAATATAAATGCAACTGACCTGGTCGCATTTTGATGCTGAGACTCTCTCTAATGAGAGCGAAGAGTGTTGTCGTAAAGTGGACGGTACCATCTTCAGCAACCGGCATATTCATACGAACTAGATGTTTATAAGCTAATCGATACGGGCATTTTCGTCCAAATCCAACAGGTGGTGTTATATTACGCAACATATCGTACATGTCCGTGTAATGAATTCGTCCACTAAACAAATTTGATCCTTTTGAACCGTGTACGATAGGCTTGTCTGAACAAATAACTGAATCAGATAAGCAAGAATCCGAGGTCCAGTGAACCTTGCTACCGTATTGGACAAGGTTGTTGGGTTTCCCCACCCACGCCGGACGGTCGCCCGTGCTGAGTGGACGAGCCAATGTAATCGAGAGCACATGAGAAGGGACAAGACGGTATAAAAACTGAATTAAAGTGATCAAGCCCTTTTAGGGTGCGCTACGCATTCCACTCCCATTCAAATTCGTAGTGGCTTGTTGAGTATAGGGCCCACCCAAGGACTTCTGGAGACCAGCCCATGTGCAGATCAGTGTTTTGTCCTCTCAGGCGATTCTGGTAATCATTTGCCGTCCACGAAGGCTAGAAGGCTTCGGTTGGCCTGGGCGAGAACGGCTACTTGCACAGAGACAATTAGAAGAACCTCAAGCTTGGGCAATTAGACCAGGTACGGTAATGGTCATTCGCTGGACTGCAAAATCTTTATTATTTAGGTTAGTAGCTGAGAGCTCACGTTGCTGCAGGGTCATAGTCGGCCCAGACTCGAATGAACTCGTCCAAATGGTGAGGCCCGAGAATGGACGAGTCTCTTGTCAGATAGTCGAAGTTGTCCATAATGACGGCAACGAACAGATTCAGCATCTAAACGTGAACCTTCATTCTTTCAGAGAACTGATCGAATTGCACACCGAAAAATGATGACAAAAGAAAAAGAACAAAAAATGGCGGTTGTTAGCATCTATTGACGCTTTCATGGGGATGATGGCCCCTCAGCAATAAGTGTGGGTAGAGGCTATGCCTTAGGAAGCAATTTCGGAACTGCATACCCTAATCAGGGGAAATGCATATGGGGCTTCAAAGTTGCAGTTTTACATCGGTGAGGCTCAGTCATCTGAACGGCGATCACTCTCGAAGAATATGGATCAACACTTGCTGTTAGGGCTTTCGTCGGAAAATCCGTTTTGCAGCGACGCACTTGCAAGTGCGCAGCGTACACCGAAGGACAAAGTTGTTTCGAAAAGGAAATTCTACAGTATGTCGAGTCAACTGTTCAAAAAATATTAATTAGCAGCTGCGCGTCCGCAAAATCTGGATCCTAGAATTGGCACCCTGACCTTGTCGTTAGGTGGCTGCACCAGCTCAAACGCGTTTCTTACGAACTCACCAAGAAAGAAGACAGGAACACGAACGAGGTAAAGTAGGCATAGCTCACATTGCTGCCACAAGTTTGGCCCTGAATTCTCGCATACTTTGTAAACAGTGAAACAAATAAGACTCCCATAACCCTACTGACTCCAAGCACATACCTTATCGTAGTTGATCTCATCTGAACCAGCCCTTGCACAGTCCTTCTGAGCGCCGCACGCCATCATTATATCCTGCCAACCTTCTCCTGTCGCACATCTGTCACATATTGCATTAGAACAAATTATAAAATGAAGGAAATTGATTTCCCATACCGAAACAGAAGAATCACTGAGTTGAAGAACGACTGGAAATTGTTGTGGCGATTGATCTCAGTAGCGGCATTCAACCAGATGTTACCAAACACCTGTACACAAAGAATCAAACCAGTTCGGCATTTCTCAATAAAAACAAAACAGAATCTACAGGCACGATCCACACTGATCATCTGGGCGGGGTCAGGCCACTGTGCCTCTCACATCAATACGACAACCCATTCGATCCTATTAGAAAGAGAAGCGATTCATCAAGAAAGCAGAGGTGCAGGCCTGACTTCGCAGGGGCAATGGCTTCAATGTAGATGCCTGTTGAGAGCTCAGCAATCAGACATACAGCTGATATCGTCACAATCAGTCGTTTCCGTTTTCTAGCGCTGCTACTTCCCCCCCCCCAACACTAGCTGGCCTTTCACTATTGGTAGAATAGGCAGACTGGGGCGGACTCACTCCAACCCCCTCACATCGCCCCGACTGATTGCGACGTAATCAACTATACAGGGGGGCCAAAAAAAGTCATTCCGGCCGAGTCACATATGAGCGAAGTTTTCGCAGCCCAGACAGAGGAAGTGGATATGAGTACCAGGGCGGAAGATACCCAAGATCTTCCTCTATAAGCA